AAGTCTTAAAATTATTATAACAATTACAATCTATTGCTTGGGCTAGCATTCATGAACAGGGTTACTGCTCATTCACAAATGGAAAAAACAAAAAAGTGTGTGTGAAAGATTTTTGGTACGGTACACGAGATATTAACGATTTAGTAAAAGTTATTTATAGAAACAGAAATACATTCATGGTCAATTTACATCATCGCACGTGATATACCATTCCTTATTTTAACAACCACAAAAGCTATCAGTACGAGGAATTCGCTGTTTTGTCATCAAATATGAAATAAGACAGGGATAACTCATTCATCATTTAGCTTGAAGTAGCATTGTGCATTTCAATTTCTTTAATTTTCAATAGGTTCATCCTTGAATGATAATAAACACAAGTTTTGTCAAAATCCATCAAGAATTGTGCCTTATTGAGTGTTTACAAGCTAAAACTTTAATGCAAATGTAGTTTATACACTTTATGTGGCTGTGCAAAAAAGCTCCCTAGTGCAAGCTTTAAGTTGAATGTTTTAATAACTGTTTGAGGAATCTGCAAATGGTCTTGGTTTTTGATTCATTTTGGTTAAAATATTTTTAAGCAATGCTGGTTCTTGTGTAAGCTGCCATTTTAGTTTGACAATTTTATTGATATGAAAGATTTCAGAACTTTGGAACAATAATAAAACAATAGATCAATGAATAAGTTTAAGTATGCAAGTAATGGATTGGTAAAATGATTCAAAGATAGCATGCCAGGCAAGGTCATATACACCCACTGGCAGCTTTTATTTTGAATTAAAATATTTGGCAGTACAGTAACAATCACCAGTCATAAACTTCTTTTGGGGCGATACTGAATAATATTACCAAGTTTTGTCAAAATCAGAATTGTGTCTTTTAGTGTATACAAGTTAAAAAATGAAAGTGTTTTCAAGAACAAGGCCAATAACTTCTATAAAACATTTTTCTATTTTTTGATTTTCAATAGAGTTCACCAAATTTCTGCAAAATCTGTCAGGATTTCTTGCTTGTTGTCAAGCTAAAAATTGAACGCCTTTCAAAAACAAGAACAATAACTCATACTAATTATTTTACGATTTTTTTGATTTTTAATAGGGATCATTCTTGGGCGATGACAAAAGTCAAAATCAGTCAAGAATTGTGCCTTCTAGAGTGTTTACAAGCAATTATGGACGGACGCACGGACGGACCAACGAACATGGGCGACGACATTATACGCCCCATATTTCATGTGGGCATATAAAAATGGATTCTATTATTGATCCTATTTGTGTGAATTCTACAAAATATGCATAAAGAGAAACATTTACAACAAGTAGTATAATTAGGTAATCCACAAGATATTCCTAACTGAATACTCGAGTAATGGCTTCAATACTCCATCTAAGATAATCAGCAATCAGTACGAGGAATTCGCTGTTTTGTCATCAAATATGAAATAAGACAGGGATAACTCATTCATCATTTTGCATCCACTTTGCAATCATGTTTACAACTATTTTTTGTATGAAATAAAGTATCAACCTAAAAATATGTATTTCCGTTTGGATGTAGGTTGTAAATTTTTTTGGCTCAAATTTGCGAAATCATATAAAAATCTAATTTGTCAAAGATATTGTTGATTTAATCAAATCTAAATTTCATAAACTTGACATAAACTGTCATCTCTATCGCTTTCATAAGCTAACAAATTTTGTTGCCTTCTTACTAAGTCAAGGGCAATAACTAAAAATCGACAATTTTGAACTTGACCAAGATATCATAATTATAATCAACCACACAAAATTGAATTTAAATAGGATAGGTATTGAAGGTTCGAACTTATAATCAATTGTCACTTATTAAAAAAAATTCATTTGACTTTTATTGATGTGATCAGGCCTTCAAAGTTAAGACATAAAACTTCATTTCATTTAAAAGTTAATAAATGAAATCAGTGATTTGCTATACGAGTATGAAAATCATGTGGAAACTTTTTTGTTAAAGATGGGTAACCTTATTTTCATTTATGAAAATGCTAATACTTATGTGAATAGAAAGCAGAGGTGTTCTAATGACTTGGAAAAATACCAGTTTGTCTCTCATAATTAGCTAAATTAGAAGAGAATTATCTACAGAATTCCAATGAGTGAGTGACTATTCTTGTTTATCCAAACTGTACATAAATGGACATTTATGATTGGTTAACACTCTTAATTACATGCAATAAGAACATAATGATATGATTAAGAATACATGATAATTCATTAGAAACACCAATTTATCAAATAGTTTGCTTAATTTGACACTAAAAAATAAGGAAACCATCTTTAAAGGGATTGTAAAGAGGTTTTATTAATTTTTTATGTGTATACTGGACACATCAATTTCCACCATTCCAATTTTCAATCAGACGTCTGTGTTTCATGCTATTCCACTATGTCATTGATCACAAATTATTTGTGTGATACAGCAAATTTTTAGTCATATTAGATCATGTATACAATTTTTACAAATAACTTCATATGTGAAAGATGAAATCCAAAGAGCTGATTATAAGGAACAATATGGCAAGCACTGGAATTTAAAGACTATTACATGTTTAACCCACCTGGTAAGAATAACTTTGAGGGTCCAAAACTGTAAAATCTGGTCCTTAAAAACAAAACAAAAATCAGCTAAAGACTGCATCTAAAAGTGCTGGCACGACAAGTTAATCTTACATGACATGCCATAATATAATGTGCATTGTATCACTAGATAGTATATAATAGATACTTGTCAGATCAAGCATTCAGACTAAAAATTCATCCAAAATCCATTCATGAACATAATTATAGATGTCACTTTCAGTCTATTCCCTTACACATATAACGTACATACATAATATCCTATCAAAGTATGCCTGGCAATACTCAGCACCAGAAAGTATTTGAGGGAAAGGACAGCCAATTTTAACGCACCTATAACCAACAAAATAGGTGGATACTTACGTATGGGAGGAGTCTGTCCTCTGGGTGGTGGACTAACACAGGTTAAGATAAATAAATGACATTTCTACAGGCCGATACATGTAGTTAACTTTTGTTAATACCGATAATGTCCAATAGTTTCATACTTTACAAACATTAAGGTTCTGAAGCTATGTTATGTGTCTCACAATATCGTCCAGCTGGAATAATATCAGGTTTGGTAATTTCAAAATTAAAATGATCCGTACCCCCTCCCCCTTCTTTCTCTACTAAAAAAAAGTGGGTTATTTTAAAATTATTGCCATTGATTTCATACAAA